ATATAGGTGAAATGCATAATATATATTAATATATGTGTAGTAAATATAGTGTTATGTCTTAGCTCGCTTGGCTTTGTGAAAATGTGTGAAGAATCAACAAACTTATAATTATCTCCCTTCGACCATACATTACATCATTGTCTCGCTCACCCACCACATACCACACATACAACAATAGCTTCAATTTGATGCCAATATATATGCTGCTATTAAGCTATAAAATATAAATCAATGCAAATATTCATAGTGATACTATGCTAACTGACATGTCCCATGCATACATATACAAACTGGACTGGGTCGATCGTCAGCGATGGAGCGTTCGTCTAGAGTTCTGAGGATCCCAAGTTCAAACCCCCGACAAAAGACACGACATCAGATCAGCGACATACCCCCTGTCTCCAGTACACAAGCAAACATCACTCAAATGTCGGTACACGTGAGTAAATGACCTTAGCCGTTAATAGAACGCGGAATTCAATAAACAGCTGAAATGGAAATTTATGTAAATGTTGAGGCTTCGCTGAATTTTGACTCCTAATTTTATTCTGAAGTAGCATGTACATTTTACATAAATCACTGGACACTCCGAAATTAAACGAAATTACGAAATACAGTATAAATATTCTACACCACCTGTTTAAAAATAGCTTATGTAATCGGTACTCTATGAGGACGGTACACGAGATCATTCAAACCTTCTACATCGCTTCAGTATTTTGTATTGAATATTAAGTATTGCAAAAACCATGTTTAACTATTCGAAATTTGAAAACTTTTGACAACAAGTAAATACAATTGTAACAGCAATACATAATTTTGGTTTTCTATGAATTTTATTTCAAAATGAGAAAGTGTCTTGTTCAGGGAAGTAGCTCTCAGAACAAAAAATTGTGTTGCACAATCTTCAAAATATAACACATGATACTCTCAGTTGAAAAAAACACCTCTGAAGTAGAACTATTTTCGCCAAATTAAATGTTACCCTGAAGTAAACCTAAACATTTTTTTGGAAACTGCGGCCCCCTGTTTTTGGATGCGTCGTTTTGTTGTAAACTGAAAATAAAGCTGTTGATCAGCTTCCTTGTAGCCAAGGTCATTGTTATTTAAGATATTAGTTTGATAGGGCTGTTCTTAATACTAGATATCAGCTGATGTATTGAATAGAAAGTGTAACATACTGGGATGAGCGGGTTCAAATGATCATTATGTAAATTAGGAAGAAAGTCAAGTATGGACATTTTCCTTCTAGTACGCTATCTCATTATGCCACTCCATGTGTCCTATATTCTGACACCTAATTGTGAAATTAGATATTTCATCAGATGGATTTATATAAGTATGTAAAATGTTAGGACTATAGTCAATAGCATCGAGATTTCGTGAACAATGGGACCCTTGCAGGAAAAAGGTAGATATCCTCTGTTTGAATTATCATTTTAAATTTCTATGTTTCATTAAAGTCGTAGTCTGAACAGATGTTAGTAAGCATTAAACCATGTATTATTAGAATATATTTGAAATGTTTTCATAACGGTTTAAATTCGAATTTGAAAAACAAAAATGCGAATATTGTATAACAATTTCAAATGTATATTTGTGTATGTATATCCGCCGAAACCTTTTACTAAAAGTAAGTAATGTAATATCATTTTAAAACATTTTCATAACGATTCAAAATTGAATATGAAAAACTAAAAAGCAGACATTGCACAACAGTTTGAAAAATATATATCTGTATACATTTCCGTATTCCTACTGAAACCCTTTCATTGAGTATGCTTTGGTTTCTGTTGACATATTTCACCAAACTTCACGTTAGTCATCTAATGTAGTTGGTACTATGGTTTATGACTTGTGATAACAAAATACATTCGTTGATTTTGCTAAAAGTTACAGATTCCCTGGGGTGCCGGCACTTAACATGGAGAATATTGGGGGTAGGGGAGATGTAATGCTATAAACAGTTAATTATTTGAGTAAACACACAACAGAAACACATTAAATCAATAAAAAAGATGTTGGTGAAGTTATATATTATGACAGGAATAACCTTAAATCTACAATTCACTGAAAACATGGAATTTAAGTTGGATTTAGCCAGAAAACCTATATGTGACACATATACATACAGATACTCACATGTGCAACTTTTGTAAAAGCTTGTTCTGTGGTCCTGAGGGGCTACTTGTTGCTGCAAAGCTACATATTAGACGTTTTGTTTTGATTATTTGAATAAAAGTGGATTGACCCAAAGACTCCGAGTACACATAAAGCGACATGTATTAATACATAATGCATATTGTTGATTTTGCTAAAAGCTACATATTAGACGATTTTTTTTTTGATTATTTGAATAAAAGTGGAATAAACCCGAGGACTCCGAATAAATAAATACATTATGCATATTGTTCGGAACAGTATTAATGCCTACACGACATCTGTTAGTAATATTGATGTATAATCGAAGTAATATACTACAGTGTAAGTACACAAGAATACAACAGGTATTAATAATCCACGCGCCATATGTTACCCCGTCGTGATGATGTCTATCAATTCTCGGTCACCAACGATCTGTTTCACAGAAATCAAGTCACAAATCATAGTAGAAAAAGGGTCATAATAACAACCTTAACACTTCAAACGACGTACGTAGTAGCCGTGTATGCGAGTATGTGTGTATGCGTGTATGTGTGTATGCGTGTATGTGTGTATGTGTGTATATGTGTATGTGTGTATGTGTGTATATGTGTATGTGTGTATATGTGTATGTGTGTATATGTGTATGTGTGTATGTGTGTATGTGTGCCGGAGACAGAGTATGTTAATGAACTAACCTCCTTGTGGTAGTGCGGATCTGATGCCGACTTTAACCCGGAAAGAACCATATCTACAGACTGAAATGGCGTTTCTAAGGAAATGAAATTAGTGTCTTTAGATTCATAGTGAGGTGTTCATTTTTATGCCTTTATCTATGATAGTTTCGTTGATGGATTTTGCCTTGTTTTCATATTCGCCAGTGAACTGACATCTGTGAAATATTTCGCAGTGTAAAAGTATCAATTTTGCTATTGACCAATCCAAATGGTTCCTCCACTTAAATGCTCCAAAGCCTCAGATTTTGTAGCCAGATAAGATGAAGCGACCGTAGAATAAGTAGCTGTTTAGAAACGTCTTTGCTATATAAACCGTGATATTTATCTAACAACACAATTCATAACATCAAAACATACTACATGCATATCTAACTAAACGGTAGAGCTACCGTGTCGTCAAGTGTGACGTCATTAGGATACTGCTTTTATAACTCGGTTTGTAGGTATCATCGTCGGAGTATGGATTCTAAAAAATGTAATAAATAACACTGAAGGTCCCCCGTTGAATAATACATTTATATACATGTAGTTGGTATTACTCAAAGGGGATTCTACATTCGCGGTCATTGAAATTTTCGGGAAATTAAATACACAGCGATTATTATACAGTGAATTATAATCTCCTTGAATAGGCGAAACATGGAGAATAAACGCCGATATTTTTTGTCATATACTTTGAACAACTGCACAATAAATCCCATTTATCGAACTAGTCACTTCGGGTCTTAATCCGTTCATCCTATGCAACTTTAGTAGACTCTTCGATGCACTGTACCCCTGCAGGTGGGGTATCGGTAAGGGAACACACCTGCTGTTACCCACAGCATGTATCGTAGGAAGTGGCTAATGTGGGAACCCACTGCAGAATTGGGGATTTGCTTTGGTGTCTTCTATTTATGGACACAAAAGCGACCAAAATAAATATGCTGCACCCATCGAAATATTTGGGACCCTTATCTTTCGTTCTACTTCTAAATACAAATGTACCTTGCATACATACATTGACCTGGATCGATGAGTCTATTACGGTCAACAGCGGTAAAGGGGTTAATTATATGCGGAAATTGACCCGGCCAGGTCCATGCTTCGGCAGTAATTATACCGATTCGATTACAAAATCTACCCTACCAGGATTATTATAAAACAATAGGCAAAATCAATTCACGTTCTGATGTCGACTGTAAACAAAACTCACCCGAATTTGGCCTGTCCGTGACTCGGTCGTCGGCCCATAGTTATCTAATTTATCTGAAAGGTGTGTTCTCCTTTCTCCCACTTTTTAATAAATAAATAGAGACAGTAATGTTGTGATAGCAGTTATAATCTGTTTCATATATATTTTACCCGGTTTTTACATGTGTTCAAATAATAAAAACAACGAGATTGTATCCCCTCGAAAAAAATATATGAATTCTTGTGATTAACCAATGATAGCAAGAATTAATTTCAATCTGTAATTTCAAGGGTTTTGTTGTTGATATGCTTTGCTTATTTTTAACATAAGTTAATATGCTTATTTTATCAAAACCAGAATCAGCGAGTGATAACTCTTACATGGACAACGAAACCATGACTTTGGCACACGAAAAACAGTCTGAACAATCCACCATGCCGAAAACTGTAAATTCAGATAAAACTGAATTACAAAACGACACTGAATCAGAAGGGAAGAATGGTGCATGTCTTCCGTTACCATCGTTTAACACTGAAATATCTGGAAGGAAAAATGATGGTTTTGTCTCTGATGATCAGAATGGCCGAAATACCAACAAATTGCAGGAAATAAAAGCGCAGCTGGCAAATCAACTCAAACATGAACTGTCCTCAGAACAGAATGCAAATGGCTCTGGGTCAATCTGTAAAACAGGTTCAGAAAATCAAAGTGCTGCTTCGACTCCGAAAAAGCAGAGAAGCAGAGCTGAATCAAAAGTATCGTTTTCGGAAGAAACCAAAGTTTCAATATTTAAGCGAATGGACAGCATCCCGGTCGAGGAGAGTTTCTGTCAGAGAATGACATCACTAAGATGGCAAGTAGCATTCATGTGTTGCCTGATTGCGTCACTAAGCATCACAGTTCGACAGTGTATGAGTATGGCCATTGTGTGTATGAGTGACACAAAGACTGATCTTATGACCAATACAAGTCAGGGAAACAGTTCTATCGTCACTTCTTCTACTGAAACAAATGTAAGTATTGGTTTGTTTGCTTGTTTTGTGTGAAGCGTTCTTAAAGTACTTAGGTCATATCAATACGGGTGCCAAAGGAGACAGCACCGCAATAATAAGAAAAGGGAAGTGGGAAAACATACACATCTCAAGTATTGCAATATGGGACAGCAGACTTTTTTAAGTAACTGATTCAAAACTCAATGATTGGTTTTAGTTTGGTTTTATTTTGTTTAACGTCCTATGAACAGCATAGGTTATTTAAGGACGTGCCTCCGTGTATGTTGCGGATGCGTGCATGTGTGTACATATGTGCTGGAGACAGGGTATGTTGGTGTATTTGCCTCTTTGTGATAGCGCGGATCTGATGCCGACTCTACAGTACTATCTCACTGCAATACGCAGCACAGCAGTCCGCCCGGTCACATTATACTGACAACGGGTGAACCAGTTGTTGCCATTACTCTTAATGGTGAACGTTAAGCAGGGAATATCAGCTACCATAACCCTATGAACGCAATCACTTCTGGTAATGCTTATAGACGAACTTGAATAAACTGCAATATGGTCTGTCGTGATGCATATTCAATCTGCAAAAATAATACTAACATCTGCAACCTTATAAACCTGTTATACTGACTTATTATTTCATTAGTCTTTAGCTGACCATGATTGAATATTTCCCCTCAAACCATTAATATCTACAATTTATAAACATATTACATCATTTGTGTTTTTCCTTTTCCGACAGAAATACCAGTTACAATGGGACTTGGAAACACAGGGTCTTGTGCTATCATCCTACTACTACACTTTTCCTCTCACGCCCTTGCTGGGAGGCTATTTGGCAGGGAAATTCGGCGGAAAGTGGGTGATCTTCAGTCAAATTATGCTCATGTGTGCAGCCTCGATTTCAATTCCATTCGTTGCCCTCATCGACCCAGCGCTTGTCATGATCGCCCGTGCTGTTGTTGGTTTCACATCAGTGAGTATTTCTCGTTTAGGTTTTAATATTTAGAAGTTTATGTTGCAAACTTAGATGATATGATTTTCTTTTCTCACAAGTTTTGAAAATAGGGTAAAGCAAATCTTATGATCGTTTCAGATGTGTTTATACCAAGTCGAAGTTGAGGAATCTTCAACTGTATAATGAAGAAGCCAAGCATATTGACAAATTTACCATCAAATAGAATACCTATCTATATTATCTTTTAACTTTTACTTTTTTCTGTCTTATACGTAATGCAATCACTCCATGAATTGTACCATCCCCATTGCTTAACAAGTTATTTTCTTCAATGCTTATCTTTATCAAACACATACTAATATTTGTTTTCATCTACTTCTAAGGGTGGGTTAATGCCGGCTACCGTTCAGCTTCTATCGAGATGGGCTCCACAATTTGAACGTTCCAGAATGTTAGCAATCGTCAACTCAGGTATGGATTGTTCAATGAGTGCAGAAAAATAAGGGGGAATTGGGAAAATTGGTAAATATTGATATCTTAAAAGTGAAACAATATTGTACTATGACAGTACTTTTGAATAAGACACAAACGACATGATATGCTTTTAATATTTGTGACAAAAAGTTATGACTACCCCTTTCACACTGAATTGACGCTACGGTACATTTTATTTAAAAAAAAAAAAAAAAAACATTAGCTACAAAGGTACAAACAATATCATTTTCAAATTCCTGAGGAAATATGGGCCGAACAAACAACTCTTTATTGATATTAAAAGCACATTTGTCATTAGTTTTTGCCTATGCATTGTATATATAGAGGTTACACAACGAGTAGTTGTTGAATATGGTATTTATTTCACTCGAGTTAGGTATTTTTCAAAAGTTACAAAAGACACGAGCTTTAGCGAAATTTTTAACTAAAGAGAGTGAAATAAATACCATATTCAACAACCACGAGTCATGTGATCTGTTTCTACCACAATCTCAGTCGGAAACAGCTGGAATATTTTCCGATTTGAATAGCATACACACATTTTGTTGACAAGGCTGGCGTAGTGATATGACCCATATGTAAAAAGTCACTCATTAATATTCAAAAATGACTTTTCTTTTTACAAATTTTATAATTTTCAAAATTAATGTTTCGGCAACAACTTCGTGAAAACATAAAGAAGAACGACTTTAAATATTGAGAGTATGCAATATTGCATTAATTAATATCAATTAACCACGGACTATATGCGCGTAAGCATATCGTAAAAAGTCTGCCTACCGCCAAGTGATGAAGATGAACCAATGTCCAAAACCATAGGCCTGGGACGTTTCTTCGTGAGGTTCTATGGTTGAAGTTTATAGTGAGAGTTCCGCCATAGACAGGCCATCCAAATATTGATAACGGGACATGGGGAGAACGAAATATTTTCCGACACTGTTACAGATCTTGTTTGGGTTTCACTGAGAGATAAAAGCTTATATTACGTCTATTGGTTTCACGACATGGACATGCGACGGTATGGCGTCGAAACGATATCGAGCGTCTGTAGCAATTTTGCCTGAAACTAGCGTTCAAATCTTTAAGCATCATCTTCTTTTGGTATTGCCTTAATAACCCCCTTTTTCCATGGCATAACCTCACAAAAGTCACCAACATTTGCCGGATGTTGACAGCAGACGACGTAAACAAAACAGCACTCGGCAGAAAGCGCGTGAAAAAAGTCGCCCGGTCAAGGTTCATCTTCTCGACCAATCAAAACTACGGAAGGTCATATACCACGTGTGGTGTATAACTCATATTTATTCAACAGTCTGCATGTTTATACAATGATCTGAGAGTGGAATAAGACAGCGCATTGTGGTAGAATTATATTTATCATATTAATACAGTGTTACGCAGTGTAATAAAGCCGTCGCATACATTATGTAACGTGTGTGATATCAATCCGGAAATGACGTCACAATCGAATAGGAACAATCAATGTGACGTCACGTCATTGTGAAGCGGACGCAATTTTCATCGCTTCAGAGGCGGCCAAGTGCAAAATATTCGTTTCAGATAACAAATATACAGTTTACCTTGTAGCATATGATAAAAAGAATCTGCCAAACGTTTCAGAGGCTCGCAAACAAGAAAAATCCAAAACTTGTATTATAAATCGAATGTGAAGGGATACTTATGACAGATCCTCTATAATCATATATCGATTAATCTTGGTATCAACGTTTGATTTGTTACTATTAATTGTAATTAATCAGGAATATATTTCGTAATTTTGTGTGAACGACGGCATATTCAGGATAACATGGCGACATTTAACGAACATGCTGTATATAGGTTATTTCTTATCAAATTTAAACGCCCGAAGAGACCAAAGTTGGCAAAAGTACTAGCGATAATTAGCCTTCAGTGATTTGTTCTGTAACATTTATAATTATATTTTTTATTTATGCAGGCCAAAGCATTGGTAATATTTTAACCTTCCTCTTGTCCGGTTTTATATGTATGATACCTTTCCAAGGAGGATGGCCTTTCATCTTCTATATATTTAGTAAGTATTACCAGGTTTTTTCTTCGAGTAGATCACGTGGTTTTGCACATTTAATGTATTATAAGCCTGCGAAAATTTCTTACATTCAGTTAATTTTTAATATAAAATAAGATATATTTGTATTTGATACCAACGCTTTTCTGTTTTACTTATACAATTCAATATGGAGAGTAACATGAAGACACGAAAGCATAGCATTTAGAAAGCAGACCGTTATCACTTGTAACGGTCAACACGTACATTTGAACATCGTTCAGCCACACTACATGTATCATTCATATTTGTCTCATTATAGCTGCCGTCAACTTCCTTGCCAACCTCTTATGGATAGTTGTTGTCTACGATTCACCGGAAGTACACCCAAAAGCTAGCGCCAGGGAAGTCCTTTATATACTACAAGAGCGGCGCAGTACTACCGCCAAGGTAGGCATGATTGCAATAATTCACCTTTCCGGTGAAAAATTGTCATCTTTATAAAACACTTATACTCTATCATAGCAAGGCACAATGTAACAAAAAGGGATACTGTCAAAGATATGATAACTGAAGTCATGTTCAAAAAGTACTCGTTGATATGTTCTATAAACGCAACTCATTTCTATTCTTGTGACATGAATATTACCTCTATAGTGACATCATAATCAGTTTCAGATAGCTATGTTCCTCGGTTGAATTATATGACATCATAAAACGAAAAGGATTTACGTGTTCATAATGAGATTTTATAACACATTTTAAAAATGTTTTTCTTATTTCATCGGTTCAAAATAAAAACATATTTATCAACGTTTGTAAACGGCTTAATGATCACAGTGTCGTCAATCTTGGAATACTTTTTCTAATTAATCGAGTCCTTGATATTGCACAATGTCACCCCGAGATGGGGGTAATTTTCTTTCAAAGAAGTGGGTAAAATAGTCTGTTGTTAAACCTGAAGCAAATGGATTGAATTAGTCCTTAAATGTTGATTGTTTAAGATGCCTTCACCACCGTGGAAAAACTTCGTCACTTCCGGTCCATTCTGGGCTATACTGGTAGCACATACAACGCACGGGTTCATATTCACAGTGATAGGTACTTTCCTTCCTCTGTACATGAAAGACGTCCTGATGTATGATCCTACGACGGTAAGGAATTTATAAGGCTACTCCATATATGGAGTAGTGTGATACAAGCAACAACAACAAAAAACTGAAAAGAAGAAAAAATGTTAACTTTGCTTTAATAAGCTATCAAATCTAATACAAATATAATACCTTAAATGTTATCTACTTGATTTAATTCTTAAAAACAATCGTGTTTACCAATTAACTTATATTGCTTTTCAATTTTTGATAGTTCTAATTTATATAAATCTGTAAAAAAAATTAAAAAAATTGTACTGATATTTTGTGGTTGATCAAGGTCTTCCTTATACATGTATATGCGGGACAGGAAGTCGTGAAAAACATACTCCTAGGAACGTTTAAATCTGCACGTACTTATTCTAAGAAGGTGTGAAATGCGGAAACGGGTCAAACTTCAAAATGGTTAAATTCAACTTATTGTAGTAACTACTTTATAACGAGAAATGTTCGCTGCAATTTAATCTTCCCCTGTTTCGACTTCCGTGGTAAGGACGAATTTATCTAAGTAAACAACATTGTCATAAAATGTAAAGAGTGAACTTAACACTGGGCGATAATTGATTTCAAATGCGAATGCCGAAAGTTTGATTGGGCGAACATTTCTTGTACACAGTATCACAGTGTTAAAAGAATCAAATTATTAATATGAGGTGTAAATAACCGTGTACAATTTCATTCACATCTAGAACGGAGTGCTGTCCTCACTGCCTTTCATTGGACGATTCATTGGCGCATTTTCGGTTGGGTTTTTAGCTGACAAATGTACGGAAAAGAAATGGTTCTCGACTGGCACGACGAGAAAAGGCCTACAGTGTATTGGTAAAGTTTAATTAACCAAGGGTCATTTTACAAAACATTGCATTAGTGTGATATTTAATAACTCAAGTTTAACCTATCAATATAAGTTTGTCACAGTTATGCTTTAATTTAAAACACTTCATAAGGTCTGATTATTGCTTGGTTTGGTTTGGTTTGTTTGTGTTTTACGTCCTATTAACAGCTATGGTCATTTTAAGATATGCCAGATTTTGGTGGTGGAGGAAAGCCGGAGTTATCGGAGAAAAACCACCGACCTACGGCCAGTACCTGGCGACTGCTCCACGTAGGCCTCGAACCCGCGACCACTTGGTGGGGGCTAGTTGTAGCATATTATCAGACGCCTTAACCACTTGGCCACCGCGGCAATATATTGCAATAAAGTGATAAATATTTGAACTATATCAAAAATTAAAATATTGGTTTCCTATTCTCGCCACTAATATTTTTTGCCACAGCAAACTGTTTTATGTAAACAAGATACATATATTTAATTCGAATAAAAAATACACATCCTTAATATTAACAGTCGTCATTGATATACACTTTCAAAAAATAAACAGTTCATAAAAAATGGTTATTGGGTTAATGTCAATGTAGACTGTTTGAGGGGATGTGTATTTATGTTTAGAATTTAATAATAGTTTTTGTTATCGTACACCCTTTTCTTGTTAACTAAACTTATCATCTCATAAGTGTAGGATTGACAATACAAGTTTCATGACGTGAACTGCAACACTAATATGTTAATTTTCCGCGAACGAGACACAGTCATATGACCTCATCAACAGTAGACGTGACCAGAGTAAACGTTCGCTGATGTAAATGTCGAGGTGTACATTTCATTGAACCGATCAAGCGTTTTTGTAATGAATCTGTTTCCACTAATCAGACAAAAGTATGAAATAGTTATGAGCTATTTACAGAAAAATACAGTTAATTTTAGTTAGGAATATCTTTGTTTTTTTACATCAAGTAATTAGGTTGCAACTCCAGTTAATTTGCCATAAATGATTTCGCTATGTTTTCACTTGTAATTCTTCCCAAAAACATAACACTATTCCTGAAATATTCATACATATCAGTGGTACCTGCAAGTAGACAAGGGTTGTTTGCTTCTAGGTTGTAAATTGTGATTTTTTACTTCCGATTACTCAGTAAGGAAACAAATACCGTTAGTCTAACTTGATCTGTTGTATATTTCATACAGGCATGCTTGGGTCAGCTCCATTTCTAATTGCCCTTAGTTACATGACGGTAGAGAGAAGGACATTGGCTGTAGTACTCCTGATATGCTACTGGACATTGCAGTCTACAACCAATGCTGCATTTCGTGTCAATCATCTCGACATAGCACCGACGTAAGTAGACGTGCTTATCCTTTCAATAAAACAGCAAAGTCATTCAGCAAGAGAATGGATTAAAGCAACGAATTGGGTCTAAATAAATATTATAACCGTACCTAGCAAATTTCAACAGGGGCCCTCCGTATATAACATGTATATGTCAGCAATCTACTTTTTTAAGATGACTTCCAGGTCAGCGGCACTGTTTTGTAATCCCATATTTTATTGATTTACATCAAATTAAACGTGACCCAAATGTTGTGTATAAGAATCCCATGGAGGAATTCGTTGATGAGGATGTCAAGTTCAAGACATAGGACACATACATTTCAACTGTTTTGACAGCTATATTACAAGGGTCCATGCTGTGTCTGCTTTTGTTTGGCTTTCAATGATAAGCCGTCGTAAAACATAAGGCGTTAAGGCTAATGTCTTCATAAAAATAGCTCACAGGACATAAAAAAACATGAATCTTATGTTCATATGATATAATATATCCCTAGGTAGAGAGGTAAAACGGCATCGAAGCAAGATGGTTATGGCTATGGGAATGCACAAAAAGACCAGCAAAATGTCCAAGTGACATTTTTACTGGTATATATATGACAACCATACGGTTATCAAAACATGTAATATTGTTAAATGTACCAAACCTAGTCATGTTATACACAGTATACACTTGTAACACTTTCAAGTAAGAATATTTAAAACATTTGTAGCATATCTATAACATTCAAACATGATATGAAATGGCACATCATAAACAGTTCATTGAGTGATGTAGGTTACTCACCTTCTGTTTTATTATTTATAAGCTGCTAACATATATAAACAGAAAAGTTTATTATTAGTTTTTTGCTTCGTTTTGAAGCTGGTATGCCTCCCGGAAGCTAGTTAAAGACTCATTAAGTCTCCCATGACCTTAATATACAATGTATACATGAAATTTACAAAGTGTATCATTTAGGAGCATTCAGCTGGGTTTCAAAAGAGATTGATTTGTTTAAACTCCGGTGAACTTTATTTATGAATATATCGGCCCTTTTGCTCAATTTTTGACTGGTTATGTACCATTTATTTGAGCTTATGTGCAAGTTTGATATATTCAAATTTTATACATAAGATAGGATATTTAATTGGGGTCTATGATTATGACTTATCAAATGGTTTTAATTTATTGTGACTATACCGCCTAAATGCAAGCCTAAATTCGAGATGGTACTCAAAACCAAACAAAAGCATTTTAAAATGCACCGATAATGTATACTACGGCATTTAATATGATACCAACGACCGAGTGACAACCATTAGAATAACGAACTTTACTAAGCTTGTCCTTTCGTGGCATTCGGTATTGTTTTTGTAAATCAGCTTGACGTGCTAACAAAATGAAATGCTGTGAAACGACGGGTTATCTAAAGGGCATTTATTAACCTAGATCACGTAACTCTAGGATACAAATGTATACACAATTATACCAAGACATGTTATGCTAGTTTTGCGGTACATGTATAGACTTGCACACAGCATTATTTCTCCGAGACAGGTATACTTCTCTAAGCCAGTAAACGCTTGTATTAAGCGCTGCGTGCTCTGGGTATATAGACAAAATTTAGAAATAGATTCAATACGGAGCAAACAAATTGGTGTCATATCTTACATAAGTTCAACATCTATCTCTGAATCAGGTCTTTAATTATGACTCATATAAGGGTTGAAACTACGGTAACATTACCGTCTTTATGGGGTTAGTTGTGCTGTTACCTTCATTAAATCAAAGAGTATACTTTTGGCTTTACCCAGTACGCTAACAAAAGTCGTCAATGATTTCGCATTTTTAATAAATGACTTATTTTAAGAAAGTGCGAGCTCAAAATGTGGTCCACATAATCAATACATTTACCATGAAATATTATGTAAAAAGCTATCCCAAACTCATTCAGATACTCCAATAATAGTGTAAATAATAAACTGTTGGTATTCTCTTTGCTTTTGTAGCCTTTGTCTCCGAAAATGTAGCATTCAAGATGGAGAACATGTGTTGCTTGAAAGTCAGAGTATTAGTACCGATCGGTTTGTTATCCGGCGGTCATCTTTGAAGGTTAAGATGACCATAATATAATGTCTGGATGAAGTGACCCCTATTTACTAATTAAAACAATAACATTTTTCTACGATTCCTACATCTTTCCTGAATCCTATGACCCCAGAAAACCGTCTGAAACACGTGTTTTGATGTGCTAATTGAAATATGGTTATATGCATTATCACATCCTAAGACCTAAGCCATCCGGAATTGCGATCATTCAGTGTGTATGTTATGTACGTAATGTTTGGACTAGTAAACGTGCAGGGGTGAGAAGGTAGTTTAAGAGATCGTCATATTTTGTAAATGGGACTTGTGAAATTTATTAAGTAAACAAATATAAAAGATTTGAAAAATTAACATTGTTACTATACATGGGGCTATATAGGGGGCACGGTAGTCTAGTGGTAGGACGCCGGGCTCGTGACCGAAGGGTTGGGTGTTCGTGTCACGGCACGGCACTGTGTTGTATCTTTGAGCAAGATACTTTACTCCTCTTATTCCAGTCTACTCAGCTGTAAATGAGTACGTCGTTGACCAGTGCTAGAATTGTTGAGATGTATGTTAGCTGTTAGCGCCGAAATGGCAGCTCCGGCTGTATGCTCCCCAGAGTTGAGAAAGGTATTGGCTGGTTGCAAAGGCCCTATTCCGTCATTTGTTTGTGAAAGTAACGTCATCAATTTTTGAGAAAACGACGTAATTTTCTCACACAAACCAATGACATAACAATCAATACCTGCTCACAAGAGAAGATAACTCTGCAAAACGCAAAGACGGAATAACCACGGATAATAGTTTGTGAACCGCCTTGAGACGACCTACGAACTAGGTTGTGATAAAAAATAAGAACCTCGAATTATTGATTATTATCATATATATTTACTACAGATATATAAAATCTACTGAACTATAAATGGAAAAGAGAATTAATCTAAGCTCAGATAAAAAAAAAAAAAATGATGTTTCAGTGAAGTATGAGAATGTTTTTAAACGTGTTTGTGTTTCATGTTTCCAAGTCTCAGATCACCGTAACTGTAAATGGAGAAATGTGCGATTTGGGACAATTGGTTGATCAATATTACGAAATAAACAACATCCGGATGGCTCATATTGAACACGGAACACTGTATATATACATTTCTCATCATATTGATTAATATTGTGTTCAATTTTACAATGCGTGTTGCACGGTAATACAGTGACTCTTAGACTGTCAAGAATGGGTGTGGCTCCCCGGTAAGAGAACAAGCAAATAACATTTTGATCAGTGATCGAGTTTGAACTGGCGCCCTGTGCCTGACATAGAGAGCCGATATATGATACAGTATGTACATGTACAAAGTGGCAATGTTTACCTGTACACGGGTCCGTGTCAATATGTGTTATAATTTTAAATAACTCGATTGGGGTCGGTTAAAATAAAGCAAAACACCATTTCTAGATTAAGAAATAAAGAAAGAAAGATCAGCTTATCTGTGTAGCTAGATTATAACAAAAATATTTAAAAAAATCAAGTTTAACACGGAACCGTATATATTGTTAAAACATTTCTCAATTTTCACCAACCACGATTGAAATCGCACAACATTCATCAATCTACTCGTCCAGATTGTAACAATCAAAATCGTCACAGCATCTGGCTCGTCGGTTGGTCGATATAACGTTTGAGGTCGGTGTCGTCCTTGATTTCAGAAGCAGAGTTCAACATTGTATCTTATTCGGAGACTTGTTGTTTGCGTGCAGTGCAGCTTTGACAGCTTTCAAGTATGTGTAATATTCTTCATTTTGTCCTCTTGTAATCATAAATACCATAACAGTTCACGAAAATGTAGATAAGTACACATTCAACGAAACATTCAAGTCATGACACAGGGTTGGAAACATGTACATGCAATGTAAATTTTATCATATACGTGTATACGTAATCTTAAGTTGACAATGCGCGCAAACAACAAGTCTCCGAAAAAGATACAATGTTGTACACTACTTCTGAAATCAAGGACGACACCGACCTCGACGTTCTATCGACCAATCGACGAGCCAGATGCAGTGAGTGACACACTGAAACAACCGTTCGGTTTGTGGGCGTGTTCTTTTTGAACACGGCTTGTTGACGCCGAAATGATTTTGTTTCGTTCGCACTTCGTGCACACGTGCTCACATCACGCGCACACCGTGTAACATTCCTCGATCCAACAACTGTAGGATAGTTTAACACTTATTCGTGACAAATGTAAAAATCAATTGAACATAATTATGATATATTTTTTATTCAAATTGTAAGAGGTTCTTAAATGTCTCAAGCATTGCTTTTGAGAAGTTATTAGCATATATATTCAGCAGAGAAATATTTGAATGAAAATGACACATATGGCAAATGGCTAAACGATTAAAAACTAAAAACGGTGTTTTAGAAATTGGTTTCATACACAAATTTCACCTTTTGATATACATAATATTCTTAAAAACAATATAGCATATTATCTCATTAAACTCAAAGATCGTGAAATAACACGAAGCCTTAAAGTTTAAAGTTTAACATAAGTCATAATGATAATAATAAAAATATACAACATTTGATATAGCGTCCTATCTAGCTCACATAACCCAATCTAAAGCGCTTTACAGTACATAGATATACAATTTTATACAGACAATACAATTAGCATATATATATTAATCAATACAATATTGAAGAATTCGCAGGAGCTGCCTTATCAGGCGCTAACTACATGTACTAGTCCTATGCCACCTGGCTAATATCTTCCTATGTGTGTATGCCTACGTGTGTGCTGGAGATGTATTGTGTTCCGTTTGTAGTGGGACCGTGCTTCAAACGGTATCATTTATAGTGCCACCTCACTTGAATGCTACAGCACAGATACCGCAACACCCACCCCAGACCATTTTATACTCCATCTGGGTTGTTGGAGTTGGAGTCATATCTGTCAAAAATGCCTACAATTTCTAAAAAATACATATTTGCATTGCATTATCCTAAGGGTTTTTATCAGTTTTTTTCCAATAGTAATTTTAATGTGGATTTTCCCTTGATCTAGAGAAATACGTAACAATAGAATATTCTGTAATCAAAACAAGCTATGTTTTACAATGAACGTCGCAAACATGTTCAAAATGATCTACTGATGTATCTATACATGTATACTTTTTGTCTTTTTTTTTTCACTTCCCTTCCCTCTTCCGGAGGTGTCTTCCTCTGCACCTCTCTTCACATTACCTTATCTGTTACGAGGACGTTAAACCATTAACTGCTATTCACCTGAAAAAGTATCATACTTTCTGTCGTTACAGATATGCTGGGGTTATTAATGGGATAACATTGACGTGTGCTTCGTTAGCGGCCCTAGTAGCACCAGTAGTCACCGCTGCCATTACAACTAACGTAAGTCCTGCCATGTATCCATTATAGTCAGTGTCTATTTTGTTTGTATTTATAACGATGCCGTTAGTTGTATTTATTTTACCTGCATGTTTCTCATCCGTGTATTATTTAATCAGATCCAGTTTCAGAAAATGCGTTACCCAGTTTTTCCTTGACGGAACTATAGCCAAGAATAGGGACGGACTCGGAAGTATCAGAACTGGGATATGAAACGTTATTTATGAGTGTTCATTAATACAGAATACTGACGATTAACATACAAACGTACATAGCGAATCTTACTGCATGTCCCTGTTACATATGTGGGATTGCGTCCGCTGAGGGTTTTATGTCTGAAGCGTCAGATAATTTAAAAACAGTTTTGAAAATATCAAATAGAGAAAAAGGAAGAGAAGAAAAAGTAATTATGATAAGATAGGTTTCAATAAGAAACCGCTTTAATTCCTAAGCTGTTCCTTAATTTACATGAACCACGATCACACTGTTTATCGTGCAACGCATTGTGAGAAAGCTATAGTATTGCCTATTAATACTTTGTGCATTAAATTCCCTTGTGCAATCCAGCCATTGAATCATTGAAATGCTTACAATATAATGTGATTGAAAGGGCTCGAGTGTGACTGTGTCCAGGTTATGAACCTTAAAAGATTCCCTCATCCGTGGACAATGACAGGGACATTAGCTGATGTGAGAATTTTAACCACAAACAAATCATCTCATACCTTATTCTTAACTAGGTTTGACCAATCCAGGATGGGTTTGTTTTTTCCAAAATTGATGCTTTTAAGCACACTCGCCTAGAAACAATTTCGAAAAATAAAGAACATGAAAGAACCTTAACAAATTTGTTAGCATTTTAAGTGTATTATAAATCGACTTTAGTTAGTTTTTAGTTGTGTTTCCTTTAGTTGGCTTTCTTGTTTGCTGTTTCTGTCTTTTACTAATGAAAATAACTAAATTCCAGACCGTTTTTTATTATCATACAGGGAACCCGAGAAGAATGGCAGATTGTATTCTTCATCTGCGCAGGACTTGGAGTGTTTGGCGCCTTAGTGTTTTGCCTCCTAGGATCTGGAGAAGAACAGGAGTGGGCAAAGGACCCAAATCTGGACATCGAAAACGATATACGTCGAATGTCTATGGACGTTCAGTCATTAGCAGAACAACCAAATGGGGAAACATCTGGTTTCACATTGGGTGGTCAACGCAGAAGATCTTCACAAAAACCGTACGTCGGCGTGTCATCAGATGTCTCAATAAATGGACAGGATATTGATGAAGAAGATTTGACCTATTCCAGTTTGGAAAAAGGACAACTGTCTTTTGAAACCGAGTTAAAAAATAACGACTTCATCCATGCAAATAACAACAGTTTCTCCAATCTACGACCAATATTGAATTTCCATTCTCATTCCGAAAAAGATTGCAGGTCGATAGATGATATAAACGCTATTGGTAAATCACCAGTGAATCCAACGCTCTCCTATTCCAGCTATGGTTTTGAAAATACAATAATGGACATAGACGACGACGCAGAGCAAGAACCAGCTTCCCAACTTAATAATAGCATCGGTAATACAACAAAGTACAGTGATGACATAGAAGAGACGGAGACATATACCAGTAGTTTTGATCGAACCGACAACACGGGTGTTAAGAATAGAAATCACAAAAATCTAGTTATGGTTATGAGTAAGAATGACGCAGTATCAGAATGTACACATCTTTAACGTTACCTGCTATGATGCCTGGTATTTCATAGCAGTTTTTATACATTTCTTGCAGCGCACAAATGTCTCTATCATAAACACCTGTGTCTCAAGCAACATTTATATGACTTCAAAAACAATGATTTTCCCATTTTTGTCTTTTTGTATATCCTTGCAGTTGCATTAAATTATCGTCAATAACCAGCATTTGAACAACTATAATCTCATTTACATGTCCCAGTAAAGTCGTTACCAGTTAAATGTACACTATATGTAATCTACAGCTAAACAGGTGAACGACGACCTGGAAGGAACCATTTTTGTTATACGTAAATTTGGATTTCATAAAAAACACACATTTTGATTTGAAAATTCACACGAATCATGTCCATAATCATTTTTGTTTTCGATATGATATCTATTCATGTTTTTATTATATATATTATCCTCGGGCAATTTTGTGCGAATAAATTTTGTCATTAACTGCAATTTGTTGAACGGTTTTTATGTGTTGATCATACAATTAAGGTGACTGTTTAATAACCGTGTTGATAGTTCTAGAATTAAGGGTTTGTCGAAGGGGATGTTCCAAATATAGCAATATGTAATCAAGAAGTACACACCCTGAATGATAACTTATCGAAAAACACTCTTGCATAAATTATAGCAGAAACACATTACAATGTACGTATAAATGAAGTTAAAGCTAGTTGAATTTCCATCTACAAATCAAGCGCTACGCTAGTTTAATGATGCTTATATTTCTGTTTGACCTAGCCAAATTACACATATATACAACAAGAGTACTGCAGAGCGGAACAATATATGCACATCCCATACTGACATACTTAAAATCCTTCTGATGCATTTTAGTATCTAAATGTACGAAAATGCAGAAATGTACATCAGAAACCACAATCGAACTGTATGACTCAGTTAAGTTGATAGCTATTCCTGTGATGTTCATGAAAGGTAAAAAACAACATACAGTACTCTTATAGCATAACCTGAAGGAATGCAAATATTCCATAAAGCCTTTAAAAATCGATTTGCATAGGAAATATTTCCCTCTGTCCATATATCAAACCACGAAAATAGAAATGGACATTGCCCCATTTGCCAATAATCAATTCATCTTACACCATTTAAGCCATGGTCGAGAACGCAGTATTCTTGTTTATTATTCGCAGATTTTGTTAAACATTGAAATTAACCTTTGTCTGACTTTAAATAAATATTTACCAAGTTTCACCCGAATCGAGTCATCTGAGTAAGTTATAGTGCAGAATCCGTCAATCAATCGGAGCGCATTTTGCTAATTAATGTCTAGTTTAACTCAACTCAGACCTTAGTCTTTGTCCTGGTTCATTTTTTGAGTAAGTTACATAAAAACCGAGCAAGTTATCTTGCGGAAACTAACGTGTGGATTACACAAACTTACCAGCTTTCATTAATATTGAAAAATATCTGTGAGAAATAGAAATGTCGACGGACAGATGTTCCCAATACCATGATATTAAAAAATGAGTAGATAAAAGCAATACCATAGCCTTAACACAAAAGGGTAAATCAGAACAGGAACTCGATAAACAAAATAAATACGCCATGAACCTTGGTAATACAGTTAATAGGATGCCATGAGTTAGATTCAAATAACAATAAAGTCTGCTGTGAGAAAAACAAACCTAAAGGAGGGAAATTGCGGCAAGCCAATCCACTAAACAAACAGGTCAAGGTGCTCTGGATTATAAAGCGTGTGGTGACCTTCTATGGTTCATGTATATGATAATTAATAATTAAAAGAACACTTGTTTTTGTAAATGTTTTATTTGGTTTCTTCAGGAAAAGAAACTTTTGTAATACATTAACAATATCATCTGATGTTCAGGTATGTATTGTTTTATTACTTGTATGTTGAGTTGTCTCGTCTTTGGTCGATACGCCATAATCGTTTTCAAATACGGCGTTGTCGTTGCCGGTGACTTTAATTTCCACATTTCTAGTAAATGCAGGATCCTTTGCCCATCCCTGCTCCTCCCCACTGGCTAACAAAATAAACACAACTGCACCAACGACAGATACCCCCACACATCCATAAAACACCAGTCGCCACTCCTCAGCCGTACCCTGGTGGGGAAAAAATCAGATTCAAACTACATTTATCCTTTATATCACGAAAACTAAATGTTACTTTAGAGCGTCTCTAAATATAACAGAGCGTTCTGGATGCAAAAGAAGAAACTATATCAGCTGCCTTTATTAATGATATTCAGGATACGACTAACAGAGTCTACACACTTACTTGTCACCAAGAGTTACCTGCCCTTATTGCTTGTCCAAATTGATATGGTGTTTTTTTTACTTTTGTTGTTTCTAACTTTCTTTGTTTAAGAAAAAAAATATCGCATATATTGGATGACAAGTTTTTGCAATCTAGAGCACTTTATTATTATTGTTCTCCGTTGGTACAATGTACATAGGTAAAGATCAAACACTGCCAGGGTTATCCAAAAGTGGAAAAATGCCCACCTCGATCTCAAGAGAAGAGATATTAAACATTGGCATTATAAAATTAACGTACCGAAGCCAATGTATGTGATTTAGAACCACCCAACAATAATAAAATAAAAATTAACAAAAATGAATACATCGAACTAAAAAATGTAAAAAGAAAATGCAAAAGTACATCAATAAACAAATTGTTAGTAAAAAATATCTTCAGATCAATTGAGCATAAATAATCTGGTACTATTGCACAAGAACTGTATCAAATCAACTTTTCATAGACGGTACATTATAGAATATATCACTTATCATAGATGGTACATTATAGAATATATCACTTATCATAGACGGTACATTATAGAAAATATCACTTATCATAGACATATCACTTATCATAGACGGTAATTATAGAATATATCACTTTTCATAGACGGTACATTATAGAATATATCACTTATCATAGACGGTACATTATAGAATATATCACTTATCATAGACGGTAAATTGTAGAATATATCACTTATCAACTTAAAATTAGCGCACTCAATCATAAAATATTGACTGAAAACGGTTCCTTTGCGGTTTTCTTAACATATTTGTAATTAGCCAGACTAGAGTTGATTTTATGGACATTAACATTTGTTTTTTATTTATTTATTTGTTTGTTTTAATTGCAAATGAAAACAAAATACAATTGACGCAAAAGCCGTAATAATTGTTTTCTTGCACAATATTTGCCAAGACCAGAACTCGGGATCACGTAACAATATACGACTTAAGTTTTTGCTAAGCCAATCAAATATGACGTCATTTTTCCTGACGCTATCTGTGATTTGTCAAGTCAAAACTTTAGGCTTTAAATCATGTCATGACCTCGGGGCCAGGATTCTTGATGGAAGAACACTGCCAATTCTGACAGTACAGGTTATCGACTATCAAATGTCTATGACTCTCAGGAGGTCTTTCGTAATTAAATCTGGCGAGTCTCAGTCCTTCTGAGGAAGGTCATAGTCGTGGTCGAAATATTTAGGGAATAGCTCATATGAAGGGAACATAGTTGCAACTTCCATCATAATAATAAAACTTGCATGTTTCCAGCGAAAGTTATCCACTATGCATAAACTTGACGAAAACAAAACTAGTTTTGAAATATATACTCACGTTTGGTGTGACCGCTGTTATCAAAATGGGGACAAATATTGATATAAAACCGTTCAGACACATGCATATTCCATTTAACAGCCCGGCGAATCTGCAATGACCAAACCCATCATACCCAGTATACATACAAGTACGTAGTACATATTATGAAGTCTTACACGCAGCGTTCACGGTCGAAATATCCAGGCGGGGATAAAATTACCCGTATGAGTCAAAAACAGACATTTACCCTTTTGACTAATAATTCGATTTGCATGTTACATTTAATAAATACGATGTGGTCCCATTATTTACATTGTCTTTTTCAGTGTTTTGTTAATAAAAGGTTCATTTTACAAAAAAACTAAAATCTTTAGATTACATCATATCCAACTGTTTGTTAATTTGGTTGTTTTTTTAACATTTCTTCAAACATATGATACTAAACTTACTATTCAAGAAGAGCCACAGTGTTTGATCAATGCAACTCAATTTCAATTGGTCATCTTTTCTTTTTATGATAAAACACCTTAATAATACCTTACGATTTGTTGTCATTCATTTCTGCTTTCATTATGAAGTTGTACACACACAAAAAAGGCTATGAATCTGATGTTTAACTTCCAATTTAAAGATAAGTTACAATCATTAATTCTCAAAAATCTGCAAGATTTAATAAATTAATAGGCAGTTCGTGAACAGATATTTTGGAGTAGTTATATTTGATGTTAGAACTATTATTTCACAGAAACCGACACAGGGCCAAGACATTATCAACTCACACCATTAGTAATTTATAAGTGTTTGAAATGGAAACAGAATAGAAATAACATAAAAAGATATATCATTGCAAATGTCAATTTCTGATTACCTTTGGGCGATATCAGCAAAGTTTACTCGAAAGCCGGAGTTCATTGCCGTTACAATGAACCAATAGACAACCAGTAGGACCACTGCTAGAACTGCGTCATCCTTTCCAAGATATGATATCCATATAAGGAAGGGTGCAGCACCGACCAATCCTTCAGAACATAAAACAAGTGATTTCTAAGTAAACATAATAAATAATGAAGAAATTAAGACACCTTTTACATGATATATTCCAATAGAGATTTAACCGAGACAAGTTATCTATTTATATAAATCATGTTTGAACGTCCACCCGACAGCCAATGCAAGGTCATATGAATGGGGCAAACGGATGACAAGAAGACCCTTTTTCAAATATAGATAGAAATAGAACAAAAGAACAGGCTTGTGAGATAAAAAGGAAAAACTATGATATTATGGGGACAACAGATGCATGTTGGTCTGTTCAAAAACCTTTTCAGTAGAAGATAGGAAGAAAACCTTGAGTCTTCGGAGGGCAAAATGTTGTTAAATCAATTCGACTCGAATATTGACTTATAGAAATAGAATACTACACTTTAAAACCTACAACTCTATATCTAAGGTAAGTGCCTGTTGTTATAATGGTGGCCAGTTTCTAAAAACATTTTAACACCCCTACATAGGTCTGTACTGGCATTTGTGGACATTGATACTTTTCCGGAAAACGACAATCGGGAGATAAGTAAACAGACATTTCCTACACCAGGGGGTAAATAGCTTTAAACATATATATACTATGTCTGTGTAAGTGTGGTGTATCTCCTAAACTAAACTATTCTTCGAGGTTTTGTTGCTCCCCTACAATGTGTAACGCATTGCATATTGAGAGTTTGGGTCATACAGAAATGTAAAGGGCGAAACAACGCTATAACTAGACTTCACTAAAAGTAAAACATCTTTTTTTAATATGAGGACAAAAAAGGTTAAAATGCATGAAAGACACATGTAGTTATATTTTTTGGGATTGCTTTACAGCCCATCGACAATTTAAGTCATTAAGGGCCAAACAACACGATGAAAATAAACAGTAGCGCTTTCAATCATAATATATCATTAATCGTAAAATGTAAGCGTGAGAGATGTAGATTTGGCCCTGTACACGCTTGATTGGACAACTTCTTTTCTTTGTTCTGCTGTACTTGGCTTGCTTTTGTTTAGCAGAGAAAAACATTTAAAAGCTGAGATATTTAATTTGACTTGCCTCCGCGTGTGTAATGTATGCGTATGCTTGGATGTGTGCTGGAGGAGGATTTTCTTCCTTGCGATCGTGATACCTCACTGAAATACCATGGTGAAGGCATCCAGCATAGTATTACATTCAGTCTTTTTATACTGACAAAAGGTTTATCATTTATTGAAATTACCCAAAATACTGTAGGCAGGAAGTACAGCTACTATTTTAAAGACTACATTATCTCACTGTCTGACACAGCCAACATTCTTTACTTAAGTCAACACAAATATGCCGTTGTATAGAATGGCACTAGGATATATAAAGGTTGATAGGAAGAGTAGAGGGGAAACATTACAGTTGCTTTATGGTGTGCATGCATTAAAGAGCAAAACAGATTTCCCATACTGCCATGTTAGCAAACCGACTAATGGGAGGTTAGGACATATGTATTGTTTGTAATTGAAAATGATGATATTGCTAACTTCCATAATATCGGTTAAAATTCTACCTAGAAAATGTCTGTGAGACATGAATACCCCTGCCGCCATGTGAAATTAGTTAAGTGTTTGATGTTCTATAAATAGTTTTCAAGTGTTTAGATTAAATCGGGACGGGACGGGACGGGAAGGAACGCAACAGGACGCGACGGGACGGGACGGGACGGGACGGGACGGAACGCAACAGGACGCGACGGGACGGCACGGAACACAACAGGACGCGACGGGACGGGAGGGATATTGGCTACACGTTATGCCCCCAATTTTATGTCGGGGGCATAACAAATGGTGATGTTATGTTGTATGTGTATGAGAGAGGCACACCTATTTCCGTCTTGCCATATTGACATTTTCCCATTACACGACCACCGGGAAGTTAGCCAACAGGAAGTACCTACAGCGTGTGGTATTGAACATTGAGATGGTATGTTATGTGTCCATAAAAGGGATTGGTTTGTTTGAATGTTTGTTGTTTTGTTTGTTTGGGGTTTAATGTCCTCGTAACAGTCAGTGTCATTTGAGGATGGGTGCCGCAAATTCCTAAGATAAACTACTATTTTTGTGGTTTGCTTCCTATCCTTCTACGTGTTGGGGTAGGTTTTAAATCAATTTCCGGCATCAGGTTCAATACACTTGTGCCATTTACCCTCCTGATCGTATTGTTGCTGATTAACACCTCTGTTGATGTTATCACACGTCCTGATCTGTTAGATATGCCCAGGAAACATGACATTTCGTACCTGTTACCTGAAACACCTTCCTCACATTTGTAATGGATATCAATTTCTTCGAGTACAACCAGTCAGCTAGATAACCGAACATAATGGAACCAAATATCCGCCCGATGAACGGAAGGGAGGAAACAAGACCATTCTAGAAATATAATTATATAACAATGTTAGTAAACTACTGTAGTATGGTTACTGTATACCGGGGAATTTCGCTGCAGTTTAGATTTCGACTTTGTCGTCCGCCATGATAAGGGCGAGCTATTATTACAGCGGAAATCAGTATACGACATAATTTAAATAGTAATGAAATGTGAAGAGTGAAATAAACACTAGGCGAAAATTGAGTTCATGAGCTAAGGAAGAGTTTGGCTGGGCGAAAACGTCCCGTTATAGGTATCAATTGCAACAACATATTTTTGATGTTAGTCACATGAAACAAATGCTACCAAATGAGGTAAATAAAAGCACCTAAAACGTTTGAATATATATGAAACGTTTTGTTTATTTGCTGTGTGAACAACAATAAATGCCAACGCAAATGTCATACGGTAACGATAAAACTGCAACATCTGGACGATAAAATTTTCAATGAAGTAAATAGCGGTTGACGTACCATTGTCGGATCAAGCTCCAACACCTGTTCGAAATACAACGGTAGACAGATGGCAAGGGTGATAAAGAGAATTCCATAGGTGAGGAACCCCAGCACGCAACCCCACACAGCCTTCGACGTCATCAACTGAACCCAAGGTATACGCAATGCCTTTCAAAACGAAATAATTTACAAGTGCTTGATTATGATAAGCAAATATCTTGGAACTTCTAGTATTTTAGATAGATTTCTAAAGAAAAAACTCAATACATGTTATGTAGTTATAAAAAAAAATGTATATAAATGAAGATGTTGACTAAAGAGGCATTGCATTTGTTGGAAACAATAAAGAAAACTTTTGGAGAGATCAAATTAGCGGAAAAAGACTAGTTAGACTTATCAAGAACTTCAGATTTACTGCGAATCCAATGAACCCGACAGTTACGCTGGATAGGTTCAGTCACACAGGTTTGTTTGTTTGTCAGGGGTTTAATGTTTATTGTTATAAGATTCTTAACGGCCCGTCAACAAAAAGAGGCATTTGGGCCAATACAAAGCAGATAAAGATATAAAAGGAAATGACACCAACAGAACGAAAAGATAAAAAGACAAACGGGAACTGGAAAAGTAACAGCGGTTATGGCTAGGTTTATACTTTTAAACAGATCAACGATTTTAGGTAGTTTAGAACTTTTGACATAATTAATGTTTCGAAAAGGGAATCGTTGGACCGGCTATATGACTATATCTTTTGTTCCCTTATTGGTTGCAGGTAATTGCAGTCTAATAACAAGTGTTTTACTGTAAATATTTCGTGACATGCTATTCATTGAGGCTGGTCTTCACATTTTAATAAATAAGAATAGGTAATGTATGAATGACCAATCTGGATACGAGCAATGACAACCTCGTCTCAGCGGATCGATGTGTCACGTCCTCACAAGAACCAGTGTAATATGATGGCGGGTGCCTAGGGAGACACTACTGAACAGTGAACGTACGTAGGGCAGAAAGAAAAAGGACAAGAACGAACAGGATCCCAAGTGTTGCAAGGGGGCACCAATTCAATGTTGGTCTCCACCATATCCCCTTACAAGGGTCCCCATGAGTCGCCTTTTACGATTCACTTATATTGGAATACAGCAAGCCTTTTCCTTTTTTGAACACGGGTTTTAGACTTTCTTAAATGACCTTAGCTGTTTATAGACCGAAAAAACCTGTATCTACCAAACTGCTACCAAGTATTTTCATGTGATATTTCAGACAGTTTGTTTTGTTTATTGCGCGGTTTTTCTTTCTTCTTTTCACATGTAAGAAATCTGAAAGGAATGCTTGAAATATATTTTCAAACGAACTTACAATCCAGTAAAAATATCAGCCATATTCGTATACGTATGTCGGCGTAGGTGGTGTGCAAGATAACACCGGTGTGTTTAAGCTTTTGGGCCTGCCCCTGTATCATTAAGTTTTACTTACACTGCTAAACGATTGTAGCCGTAAAAAGGACGCTCACACCAGCAAACAAAAAATGAAAGAGTTATTACAAATATGATGGTTATTGTCGATAGGGCTCGCAAAATAATGCGTACAACAAACTATTGTATTCGTATCCAATAAACAACATGCGGGGAAAACCACGTATGAGTAAAGAGAAGAAAAGTAGGTCGGGCGCCCGAATAGAATATGGAGAGCAAAACAGTTTAGGAAATTCTCTTCATGCATATACAGTGTGTTTTGTTTTATCTGTCTATTCTTTGATGTTCATCTTAAAAAGAAATCAACAAAAGAACTTAATGTAACCACCTTTTACTTATCATTGGTAATTGCTTCCATGTACAAGACGCCACACATGTTGGTACTAATAAAAAAAATGGATACTTTTAGCATTGCTCCTTATTTCTATACTTCAGTATCAAAAAGAGAAAGTAATCATCAATATATACATTAAACCGATTGTAGAGAAGGATTTTTTTTATGTCTTTGATGACCGTATTTTCAGCTTAACTAAGATCTTTATATGATGAACATTGGGGCAGTGATGATGTTGATGTCCCTGGTAGTTTAAGACTGTAAGTTGTAAGCTGTAAGTTAAGTTGTACTAGATAAAATGTAGAAAAAGCGTGTAAACAGTATGTCCAGTTTCGATTTCTATATTTACCTTTAAATTGGCAGCATAACAATCAAAACTAAAAAGTGACATCTGACATCAATAGTTCGTGGAAACACTTTGAGAGGAAGATTGTTGAAACGGTCTTCACACATAAAGGCAGCTATTCTAAATTTTATAAGAGACATTCTCGAAATTCTCGAAATTGATTGCTTATTTATCACTTACAGTCAATGCGACACACACAAGGTTATCATTTCTCAATAAATGTTTGTGATGATTTACTTAACAATTTTGTTTACATTTGTACACAAAATTGATATATTTTTGGGTTATATTTACCTTATCAAGTACAACTGGAGCCTTGTGTAAGTTAATGTAATCTCGTTCTGACGCGGTTATCCTTGGGTGGATATTTGGAGTATCATAAACCAACAAAGCCCAAAATATCAGTACCAACACATTCAGTCCTCCTGTTAAAGAAAACCACAATAGCAGTACCAACACATTCAGTCCTCCTGTTAAAAAAAACACAATATCAGTACCAACACACTCAGTCCTTGTGTTAAAAACAAAAACTATAGCAGTACAAACAAATTCAGACCACCTGTTAAAACCAAAACCAAAACCGCAGTGCTAACACATTCAGTCCACCTGCTTAAAAGCCCACAATACCAGTACCAACGCTGTAAGTTCACCTGTTCAAACAAAACCCACAACAGCAGTGCCATCATATAAAGTCCACCTGGTAAAAAAATAAAATAGCAGTACCAACACTGTAAGTCCACCTAGTAAAACAAAACCCACAATAGTAGTACCAACACTGAAGGTCCATCTGGTAAAACAAAACCCAAAATAGTAGTACCAACGCTGTAAGTCCACCTGGTAAAACAAAACCCACAATAGTACTACCAACACCGTAAGTTCACCTGGTAAAACAAAAACCCACAATAGTACTACCAACACTATAAGTTCACCTGGTAAAACAAAACCCACAATAGTACTACCAACACTGTAAGTTCCCCTGGTAAAACAAAACCCACAATAGTACTACCAACACCGGAAGTTCACCTGGTAAAACAAAAACCCACAATAGTACTACAAACACTATAAGTTCACCTGGTAAAACAAAACCCACAATAGTAGTACCAACACTGTAAGTCCACCTGGTAAAACAAAACCCCACAATAGTAGTACCAACACTGTAAGTCCACCTAGTAAAACAAAACCCTACAATAGTAGTACCAACACTGTAAGTTCACCTGATAAAACAAAACCCAACAATAGTAGTACCAACACTGTAAGTCCACTTGGTAAAACAAAACCTGCAATAGTAGTACCAACACTGTAAGTCCACCTGGTAAAACAAAACCCCACAATAGTAGTACCAACACTGTAAGTCCACCTGGTAAAACAAACCCCACAATAGTAGTACCAACACTGTAAGTCCACCTGATAAAACAAAACCTAACAATAGTAGTACCAACGCTGTAAGTCCACCTGGTAAAACAAAACACAACAATAGTAGTACCAACACTGTAAGTCCACTTGGTAAAACAAAACCTAACAATAGTAGTACCAACACTTTAAGTCCATCTTGTAAAACAAACCCTACAATAGTAGTACCATCACTGTAAGTCCATCTTGTAAAAAAACACCTACAATAGTAGTACCAACACTGTAAGTCCATCTTGTAAAACAAACCCTACAATAGTAGTACCATCACTGTAAATCCACCTGATAAAACAAAACCTAACAATAGTAGTACCAACACTGTAAGTCCATCTTGTAAAACAAACCCTACAATAGTAGTACCAACACTGTAAGTCCACTTGGTAAAACAAAACCTAACAATAGTAGTACCATCACTGTAAGTCCACCTGGTAAAACAAAACCCAACAATAGTAGTACCATCACTGTAAGTCCATCTTGGTAAAATAAAACCCAACAATAGTAGTACCATCACTGTAAGTCCACCTGGTAAATCAAAACCCAACAATAGTAGTACCATCACTGTAAGTCCACTTGGTAAAACAAACCCAACAATAGTAGTACCAACACTGTAAGTCCATCTTGTAAAACAAACCCTACAATAGCAGTACCAACACTGTAAGTCCATCTTGTAAAACAAACCCTACAACAGTAGTACCATCACTGTCAGTCCACCTGATAAAACAAAACCTAACAATAGTAGTACCATCACTGTAAGTCCACTTGGTAAAACAAACCCAACAATAGTAGTACCAACACTGTAAGTCCATCTTGTAAAACAAACCCTACAATAGTAGTACCATCACTGTAAGTCCACCTGATAAAACAAACCCTACAATAGTAGTACCAACACTGTTAGTACACCTGGTAAAACAAAACCCAACAATAGTAGTACCAACACTGTAAGTTTACCTGGTAAAACAAACCCTGCAATAGTAGTACAAACACTGTAAGTCCACCTGGTAAAACAAAAACCAACAATAGTAGTACCAACACTGTAAGTACACCTGGTAAAACAAAACCCCGCAAAAACAGTGTTATGTTTCTTAAAGTTACCTCTGTGTAGTAAACACATAATATTGGATTTGAATCCTAATTTGTAGATAATGTCAGTTCTGAAAACGACTTCTACAGATCCAGAAATGCAACATATTTACCTTAAAATAGTATACACAAAGCTGATATGTCACTACTATTTGTACTTGTAGGATGGAAATGTCCAACCTTTGCGTACATTATTTGTGGCAAATACTGACACAATTGAACCAAAATTTTGTTCCCACAAACTAGCTCCCATGTTTAATAGTATGTATTTGTATAAACACTATATATTTTAAAAAGTTAACTGATCACCTTAAACAAGTTTCTTATCATTTATTTCTTGATTCTAGAACAAGAAATGAAAAACGTCTGAAGCTATCTTGGATATACAACCATCGACATGCAGTGGACAATGTCAGTATTCTTTAAAAGGTCAGGAAACGTTTCACAGCTACTTACCAAACACGAAGAAAATAAACGGCCAGCCTCCAAGAATAGGTATAGCGCAAAGCAATCCCGCAAGGATATAGTTGGCCATTCCTCCAAAGCTCCGAGCTTAGTAAATGAAAAGCAATGGATTCGTTTATTTTATTATTTGTATATAACGTTTCTAATAATAAATGGGGTTTATTTTGCAGAATGCAGCAATGAAGGGCTTCAATATGTCTGTTACTGAATTTGGAAGATTGAGTAGAATGATCGACGGAACATTATGCGACAGACAACTGTTTTTCCAGACTAGAAACTGAGCTGACAAGAACCCGTCCACAAGCGTAAAACATTTTGATGATTTTGACATAAAGACCAATTTGATACTGTTTTTGTGATTCGTTGAATGGGTTTTACGCACCTGCCTCTCTGTTTCAACAGTAGAATTAACTTTTTAAGATTTCCAAATGTGTGATCTCTAGCATCCCAAATGGGTCCTAGAAGGACCAAACAGCTGTATGATGCAGTGTAATTTGTTTTTTGTCCCATTTTATATATTTCCTAATTTCAAAGATGCAATGACAAGTGAGTGCGTTACGTTCAGTTTCTATTGTCAGTAGAAATATCAAAATATAATTGTCAACGAAACCTTAATTAAATGTAACATATTTTTGTTTTAGCTATACCTGTTTCTATAAGAACCATCATTTGCGCTCGTTCTTCAAGTGGCGCCCAGTTGGACATCAGCTGAGTCGCACATGGCTCCAAACCCGTATACGTGGATAGATTATATATAACATCGTCATCAAGAAAGGTTAAAATATATAACATCGTCATCATACGTGGATAGATTATACAAAATCGTCAGCAAACAAGGTTAAATATATAACATCGTCATCATGCGTGGATAGATTATACAATATCGTCGACAAACAAGGTTAAAATATATAACAACATCATCATACGTGGATAGATTATACAATATCGTCAGCAAACAAGGTTAAATATATAACATCGTCATCATACATGGATAGATTATACAATATCGTCAACAAACAAGGTTAAAATATATAACAACATCATCATACGTGGATAGATTATATATAACATCGTCATCAAGAAAGGTTAAAATATATAACATCGTCATCATATGTTTATAGACTATACAATATCGTCAACAAACAAGGTTAAAATATATAACATCGTCATCATACGTGGATAGATTATACAATATCGTAAACAAACAAGGTTTAAATATATAACATCGTCAACATATGTATATAGAATATACAATATCGTCAACAAACAAGGTTTAAATATATAAAATCCTCAACATATGTAGATAGAATATACAATATCGTCAACAAACAAGGGTAAAATACATAACATCGTCATCATACGTGGATAGAATATACGATATCGTCAACAAACAAGGTTTAAATATATAACATCCTCAACATATGTAGATAGAATATACGATATCGTCAACAAACAAGGTTTAAATATATAACATCCTCAACATATGTGGATAGAATATACAATATCGTCAACAAACAAGGGTAAAATACATAACATCGTCATCATACGTGGATAGAATATACAATATCGTCAACAAACAAGGTTTAAATATATAACATCGTCAACATATGTATATAAAATATACAATATCGTCAACAAACAAGGTTTAAAAATATAACCACCTCAACATATGTGGATAGAATATACAATATCGTCAACAAACAAGGTTAAAATACATAACATCGTCATCATACGTGGATAGAATATACAATATCGTCAACAAACAACGTTGAAATATATAACATATTCATCATATGGATATAGAATATACAATATCGTCAACAAACAAGGTTAAAATATATAACATCGTCATCATATGTGGATAGAATATACAATATCGTCAACAAACAACGTTGAAATATATAACATATTCATCATATGTATATAGAATATACAATATCGTCAACAAACAAGGTTACAAAATATAAAATCGTCATCATACGTGGATAGAATATACAATATCGTCAACAAAAAAGTTTAAAATATATAACATATTCATCATATGTATATAGCATATACAATATCGTCAACAAACAAGGTTTAAATATATAACATCGTCATTTTATGTGGATAGAATATACAATGTCGTCAATAAACAAGGTTTAAATATATAACATCCTCATTTTATGTATATAGAATATACAATATCGTCAACAAACAAGGTTACAATATATAATATCCTCATCATACGTGGATAGATTATACAATATCGTCAACAAACAAGGTTTAAATATATAACATCGTCATTTTATGTGGATAGAATATACAATATCGTCAACAAATAAGGTTAAATATATAACATCCTCAACGTACAGTGTATACAATATCGTCAACAAGCAAAGATATAATAGACAACAAAGTCTCCACACGCGAAGCAAAATTTGCAACAGCTCTAACAGACAATGGTAAACTATACAACAACGTCAAAAAGACAAGAACAAAATATACAACATCGCAATTACACAAAGTCAAAATATGCCACAGCATCTACATATCAAGATATAATAAGTATCACATTGTCAATACATCAGGAAAAAGTGTATCACATCGTCAACACACAATGTTGAATCATACCAAGTTGTCAACAAAAGATAAAATACAGCACGTCGTCAACGAAAAAACAAAGCACACTACATCACCAACATATAAGGATATAATCAGAGGTCAAATTCAATATATACATTTAACAGTACCAGACATGATAGCATAAACTAGACGGCTGGATCTTAACCCTACACAAATATCAGCAGAGCATTCGGAATATGGTTACATTGTACCACCAGCGATCCGAGACCAAGTAGACAAGTCTTTAATCAGGACTATAAACATGCAGTTAAATGGAGAACTGATATCCCCCGCTTCCTAATAAAACGTTAAAAATGATACATATCTTGCATAGCTTAATAAGTCACGACAATGAAAACGAAATTGTATAAAATACCGTCAGAAATAGTATCAGCACTTATCTAGTCTCAAAAACTTCTAACTGTAACATGTACGATGTCTATGTCATCCAATCTAACCCAGCAATGCAATTCCATATAAAGCATCGCAAAATTCACATAATCTAATCAGAGGGACAGACAGCCATCCTTGATCTCGAATCTACATGAAGGAAGTCGGTCGTTCGACGCGAAATATATCCCCTTTATAACAATTCCTTCCATTAAGTATAAACAGAAACGACCCACTAAAACAAGAGAGCTGTAAGTGTGTGCGTGTGTGTGGTTGTACCTCAATGGTCAAGATCAAGTGCAGACTGTTTCAAGGTAATTTGGTCGCTCATTATTATGATTCAACAAGAACAATATACATTTTTTGTAATTTTCTCTATCCTACAGCTGAGAGGTGGCTAATATCAAGAATTAGCGTAATAAAGTAATAAGCGTCCTATGACTTTAAACATAAAGATAAACTGTGTATATGCTTTACAACAATTATCATACAAGTCATTTCAACATATATTAATCATTCTTGTTGGCCTAAATATTAGCAAGGTCGGGTTCTTAATTCGTTACACTGTTAACTTTCGTGTAACCACAGATAACTATTAGATCTCGTGTGACCCAGGATAATTGTTAGATCTCGTGTGACCCAGGATAATGGTTAGAACTCGTGTGACCCAGGATTATTGTTAGATCTCGTGTGACCCAGGATAATTGTTAGATCTCGTGTGACCAATGATTATTGTTAGATCTCGTGTGACTGAGGTTTATTGTTAGAACTCGTATGACCCGGAATTACTGTTAGATCTCGTGTGACCTGAAATTATTGGAAAATCTCGTGTGACCCGGGATTATTGTAACATCTCTTGTGACCCGGAATTACTGTTAGATCTCGTGTAACCCGGGATAACTGTTAGATCTCGTATGACCAGGGATTATTGTTAGATCTCGTGTGACCTGGGATAACTGGTAGATATCGTGTGACCTGGGATAACTGTTAGATATCGTGTGACACATTATTATTTTTAGATCTCGTGTGACCTGGGATAACTGTTAGATATCGTGTGACCCAGGATTATTGTAAGATCTCGTGTGACACATTTTTATTTTTAGATCTCGTCTGACCGAGGATCATTGTTAGATTTTGTGCGACCCGGAATAACTGTTATATCTCGTGTGACCCGGAATAACTGTTAGATCTTGTGTGAGCCAGGATTATTGTTAGATCTCGTGTGACCGGGATTATTGGTAGATCTCGTATGACCAGCGATTATTGTTAGATCTCTTGTGACCCGGAACTATTGTTAAATCTCGTGAAACACAGGATTATTGTTGTATCTCGTGAGACCCAGGATTATTATTAGATCTCGTGTGACCCGTGATTATTGTTAGATCTCGTGTGACCCAGGATTATTGGTAGTTCCCGTGTGACCAGGGATTAATTCTTAGATCTCGTGTGACCCGGGGTCATTTTTTGATCAAATACATGTTGCGATAATGAATTTTGTAACTCGTGCGATTCCAGGGAAAGAACAGTATCCTGCAGTATCCCATTGTATCATCGTATATAAGAGGCGACTAGTGAACGGACCATGCAGATTCGGGCATTTTCTTCTGTTTAGAGGACAATGCTGCTAAGCAGACAGACATTGAAGAAACCAGAATTAATCTATGTTGTCCTCATTGCAACACTTTCGATTTATATCTGTCACTATATCGGTTCTCACCTCCGTCCTTTATCTTTTCAGTGTGTTTCTTTTGAACACCTATCTTCATTTGACCTTTGTTGTAGTGAGAGTGTTTAACCCCGAATACACAATTGGTAAATACATTCATTTAATGTAATGCATTCACCATGAAGCCATCGTAAGTCTCCGAAAAACCCTTGTTATGAAATTGTCGACAGATGTCTCTTCAATTATAAAAGATGCACTTGACCAGTGATATAACTTTCACATTGAAACTATTTATGCGCAAAAACCAAGTCGACAGTCTGGGATTTTCAAGCTCAAAATACGTAATGCAATATTCTGGTATAAGGGAGATAACTTGTAGAACAGTTTCCCAGCATCTGTGAAACACCGAGTCTTTAAAGTTTCTCTCTTGACATATGTTCCATTAACCCGTTGCTAACTTATTTCTGTCGTTGTTTTTTTTTCTCGTTTAAATAAAATAATTAGGGCATGAGTAGACAACAAACTACACCTCTATTAAACCTGGTTACAGAGAAAGGCGCCGAGACGAGGTTGTCCAAACGTGAACACCAGCCACAATACTTAGCATGTCACCAACCATTTACAATAAAAAAAACTATTCAGCCAACTCCAGAAAAAAAAAACATAATATCGTTACATGACTGAAATCTCTTTTCGAAACAACGACTGACTTTACAATTTTAAACTAAAAGCTGTGGATCTTTTTCCAAAACAGTCACCATTTATAGACACTTTTTTATATTCAAGAAGACGTTTGTCTTTTAACTTTACGTTTCTTTTATGTCGACCACTTACAAATTAGGCCTTATCCGTCTCCTGCATTGATAAGTCGTTTAGCCAGTAATAATGATAAAGTAAATGTCATTGTATTAATGGTGAGTAAATAAACCAAATCCGATATGTTAAAACGTTATCTTTACTGTTAATACACTCGTTTTCGTGGGTTTTTAATTCCGTTGATTTTGTGGGTAATCTTCATCCAACAATTCATAGGGTCACAAAGTAGTTTTACATGAAGCAATTCACCATATGATTGGGTCCTCGTAATCCACGAATTTATGTATCAATGTACCAACGAAACGATCGTTTGTCGGCAAACCATGAAACTTTGGGAACACGAAAATATTCACAGCAATCTGAATCAAGTACAGTATAAAACTTATACCGATCGTTTTTTCTATATAACAATTGTGAAACAATACATATCATATCGTTCCTACATGCATAACCAATAAATCTAGCGTTGTTGGCTTGGCGTCATTGGGTAAAGCGCCTTAGTAAAAGTTAAGGTAATTTAAGCTTCCTTACGATCGCATGGTTATGGTTATAATGTGTTATACCAAATGTGATCCATGAAAATAATTTTCTTTTGTTTTTTATGGCCTCATCGAGAATTCAAGTCATTTAGGCCCAAACAATAAAGCAAAAAATGCACGTTCACAAATAATACACAAACTAACACTAAATAACAATCGAAATGGTCATTGAAAAAAAAAATCATATTTGATTGTAAAGATGAATTGAATTTAAGAAATCAAATACCAATGGCAGAGAAATAATATCAAACAGACTTCTCATAATTGGAACATTATACAATTTGCCGTGTATGATGAAGGTATGGTCTTTGTACAGTCACGAGAGAACAACGTCCTCCCTCTGGTTGGCTCTATTTGTTACACATGGACCCACTTTAGGATGCATTGCAAATAAATGAGTCTCCAGGAAGAGACGATCCTAAAAACCGAGATTTATCTCCCTTTGACTACCCATAACATACGCGCACACTCTTAACGTCTTGATCGAACAGATTGGACATTAATTTATATCAAAGGGTTGATATGTATTTAATGGGGGCTTAAAGCTCGCTTGGTGACGTTTCGTAAATGTTGATGTGAATAATACACACATCAACATCACTTTAGTAGTTAGATCAAATTGTTTAATCTTATGTAATGTAGATATATCTGTTATGATTCTGAAACACCCATGCAGGTCGGGGATCGGGAGAAGAAAACACCTGCTGTTACCAGCTGCATGTTTCGTAAGAGGCGACTTATGTGGTAATCCCCTGCATAATTGGGGGTTTGCTATTGTGTCCTGTAATTGGGGTTCCGGTTTGGTTTTATTTTGTTGAACGTCCTATTAACAGCTAAGGTCATGTAAGGACGTGTTCATGTGTATGTGTACTGAACAAAAATAAATCTGATGCGACCATTGTAATAGTTGGGATCTTTATATATAGCTCTACTTCTGTCTACCCTTTGTTCCTAGCTCTATGCTTGGCAACACCTCATTTTTGGCTTTACTGTAGAACGTTCGCCAAGGTGAGGAAGGCAATAGGTTCTGTCCCAAGGCCGGAAGTTTTTATTCCCTGCTAAACGTTCAACATTTAGGGTAAAGGCAACATCTGATTCACCCGGTGTCAATATAATGTGAATGGGCGAATTCTGTGCTGCGTGCCTTCGACATGGTATTGCAGTGAGATAGCACTATAAAGTGTATCAGATTTGCGCTATCACAAGGAGGCAATTACGCCAACATACCCTGTCTTCAACACATAAACACCCATGCACGCATACACAACACGCATGCAGGCACGTCCTTAAAAACCATTAGCTGTTGACGGGAGGTTTAACTCTTGCAATCAACCACATTGAAAAGTTCAGTTTCATACATGTATGTATTTCGATCGAATGTATTTGCATTAATCAAAATAAACTATAGGTGAAATGCATAACATGTATTAATACATGTGTAGTAAATATAATGTTATGTCTTAGCTCGCTTGGCTTTGTGATAATGTGTGAAGAATCAACAAACTTATCTCCCTTCGACCATACATTACATCATTGTCTCTCTCACCCATCACATACCATACATACAACAATAGCTTCAATAAGATGTCAATATATATGTTGTCGAGTACAGTCCTACCTACCCCATGGAAATGAGGTTACTGGTGGAGGCCAGTGTTTGATAAGGCCTCAATAAGCTTTAGCCTTGCTGGTTTTATCTCCCCAAGGAACGTACACCACAGTTATGTATACAATCCTATCAAATAAGCACAGTCCCCCCGTGCCTTGCTAAGCATGAAAATAGTTTCCCCATGACAGGGCCCAATATCGGCTATGGTGTAAATATTGAGACCCGGGGTGTCAGTAAGGCGATTAAGGGAAGAATGCCCTCCCAATTTGTAGAAATATGTAGGATGACTATCCACCGTACTTGGCGGTTGAAGATGAGAGGGGAAGTGCTTAACCTCCCCTCATTGCAACCGGACTACAGATGTGCTAAAAAGTTACCCGCACAGAGTTCGGGGTTAAAAATGGTGGGGAAGTATTCCCTCCCCACACTACAGGTGGCGACAATTGGTATGCCAGGAGGTCTCTTACTCAAAAGAGTAGAACCCCCTGGCATTGGCGTTGAGCAGCAGCTGCCGCCAAGCCTCTATATCCTCCACGGACCCAGTGAAGCAGTGTCAATGCACCGCCAGCGCGGACACCCCTGGCACCCTTCGGAAGCATCCGAGGGCCTCCTGTACTGCCCGGCCACTGCCCCCATCCTTACAGTGGAATATCACTGGTCGACCACCACCCTCAACCACAGCCCCTTGCAGGACAGTGGTCAGGGTGGTGACCTGATCCCTGGTTTGATTTGTCTCCTGCATTCAGCAGGGTTGGGACATTGGCCCGCACGACTACAGTTGGAGGTCAGGTCGATCCCTACCTCCCCTATAGCGGTGCAGACCGAGTCCCGCAGCTACTGCAGGAACCCCATAAGGTGGAATCCCCTCCCCACATTATGGGGGAATAGGCCAATGGCTATTTTGACCCTAGGGTCACCAGCCACCTGGCCCTGGCGCCTATTCCAGCTGTCGGGGTAGGCATAATTGACCACCCCGCCCAGAAGAAGTTCCTCTCCACCGTCCTCCTGAGCCGCCAAACTAGCGAAGGAGGTTGCCCTGGTGAAATCATATTTCTCATAAATTGAGAATTAAATTAATTAAAGGAAGGCCACAGCTAGGTAATAAACACACTGATCTGAAGTATCAGTGCACATCATGTGTCAAGAACGGTAGGGGGTAAACCACGAAAAGGAGCGAAAAGGAGTTGTAATGACGAAAAGGAGTGGTATTTTCTTTTGGGGTGGGGGT